GTGAACCTAGGAGAGGAGGTCATTCTGACTTTGCTATGACAATCTGGTATTTGCTATTGACTGTTCAAATGCGGAGTTTTGAGCAGCGCAGAGTAACGCGTCGCATGTGTGTGTGTGAGGGGAACTGGGTCACATCACAGGAGAGTGAACTGTCTGTCAGAAATCATAGCACGTCAGCTGTCTTAACCGCAGCTTGTGTACTGCATCATCAGTGTCTTTCACGCGACTCTGTTGCCCTTTCAGGCTTGAACTGATGGTAAAACTAACAACATTTTTATCTTGATATTTACTTTGAAAGCTGAAGCTGCGATTATGGTAAGGGACATTACATTTCCGATGCGTGCTTGTGGCGTTCGGCCAATCACAATGCACTGGGTCAGCTGGCCAATCAGAGCAGACTGCGCTTGTCAAAGGAGGGGGCTTTGTTGAAAACGATGTGTTTGAGAGAGGCGGGGCATAGAGGACCTACAATAATGTACAGTATTTGAAAAATAATGTGTTTTTTGAACATTAAAGCATGTCAACATATTCTGTTACACCAAATACACAAAATAATGATCTTTAAAATAGCATCATATGACCCCTTTAAATCTGATGAATTGTTGTTACAGCATAACGATAAAAAAATGTGCTTATTCACTTCGTAAAAAGAATATTTACCAAAAAAAAAAAAGCATTATACATAAATTTAAAATTTGGCCTCTGAAATACAGCAGAACTGTGAAGTGTCAGTCACTCGATCGCGTAGGAACGATTACTGCTAATGTAGATCATCGTGCAGGTGTGAAGGACTTCAGCTACACCTGAATAAATTGCATACACCACTCTTGCTACTGCTCATGTGCCAGTGATTACCCTTCCCTGTGTCAATACTGGCACTCATATAACTTGCCTGAGTGAGGGTTTGGACATTGATGATGCTGGTCAGTCTGAAAAGGAAGGACAACCTGTTTTCCATTTGAGCCATGTAGGACAAGAGGCGACACTCTGAAAACACTTCAACCACTGAGAAAGAGACAAAGAAACACATTTGTAACACTCTTTACCACTCTCATCCATCTCTCAATTAACTGGTCAGTCATTTGAGTCAAACCTTTCACATCTTTCGTCTGGCTCTCAAAGCGGTCCAGAGACAGGACGATACATCGCACCAGCATGTTAGAGTCTACCAGAGAGCTGTTGATCTGAGTCAGGAACATCTGAAACTGAGGTGTCAAAAGAGAGAAAGACAGATTTGAGAGTTACTGGATCATTTCAGTGTGTCTTATATAAGAAAAATCACAAAGGGTCTGACTGTAAACCCACCTTCTCCTCTGTGTTGACATATTTGTTAAATCTTTTGAAGGCATCAATGTTGAACTTCATAAGTTCACCAAGTAGGTCAAAGTAGCTCTGAAGGACGTCATGTGACTTGCAGCCACTGTCGATGATGCAATATAGAATATGCTGAAAGAAGAAAATTATGAGATGACTTAATAGTCCTATAACTGTACACTACAGTTTGGGGCTGGTTAAGATTTTTTAAGGTTATTGAAATAATTATCTTATGCTAACCAAGGTTGCATTTATTTGATTAAAAATACAGTAATATTTGAAATACTAGTACAGTCTGACATAATCTGAACAGTTCTCAATTTTAATATATTTTCAAATGTAATTTATTCCTGCAATTCATTTTCAGCAGCCGTTACTCCAGTGTCCAGTGTCACATGATCCTGCAGTAATCAGTCTAATATGCTGATTTGCTGCTCAAGAAACATTTCTTATTATTATCAATGTTGAAAACAC